TTGTATTTTCAAATAGCACTCTAATGTTGTTGAACTTTTAGGAGCAACTTCATGAGAAGGAGAGATCTATTCGGGATATGGGTTTTGAGATTTCTGCTAAAGAACTCTGCCACTGCCATTGATTGAATTTGACTTGAACGCATTCAAATCTAATACTTTTTTTTAACTCTTTGGTGCAGTTATGTCAGAGGATATGGAAAAGGACGGATACGAGGACATTAAGAATGTTGATATCTCTTCAGTGGCTATTGAGATGATGCAAACCAAATATGTGTCTGTTCCTCAGCTCAAATGTACAAACACTTTTAAACATCTCCAGTTTTTCGATTTACTTATTTTTATTTGTAAAGTGAGAAGCTTTAATTTCAGGAACACTTTTTCATATGTTGCAGGCTGATTGAACCGCAGATTGGCAAGGGAAGTGGTCAAGCAGAGGAGATCGCGGTTACAGCTGGACAGTTCGCTCTTTTAACCATCTCGCAGTTCTTGGTTACAAAGCAAACTTAGGAGTGATGGTAAGTGAATACAGAGAATGATATGAATAATATAAATCTTTGGACATGCATGTTTCATAAACTGATACGTGAGAGATTATGACAGTGACGATCTTCACGGTCATGGTGTCAGTTTTTAATTTTATCTAAGCTTTTCTTTGCTGATTCTTTGTTACAGCTCAGCGGTTTATGTTGAAGGTGATATTGAGACTAGAGTGTATTATTAAAGCATCAGTAGTGAAGTGAAGAGTATCCCTGAGATTTGCATTCGTCGTGATGGTATGTATGTTCATATATTGTTGATTCTGATCGTCGATTTATCATCGGTTTCTTGTTGATATATTCGATTCTTTATGTGGTTTTTTGTAGGTAAGATTCGGGTGATTCAAATTTCAATAAATACAATATATTTAAGTTTTTATTTATTGTATTTTGTTTACAATAAATAAATTTTACAATATAAATATTTTTTTAAGAATCCATTAAGAGCTTACCAATGGAAATATCAAAAATTTAAATTATATACAAAGGTTTTTAAAAGAAAAAAGAAAAAAAAATAATATTAAAATATGTTTAAGAACTTTTAAATGACCAATGGAGATGGTCTAATTAACGGTATCGTTTTATCCGGGGGCGAATGAGTAATCTCCTCCGAGGTGCTGAGGCAAATAAAAATCTTCGGCGAGGCAAATAAAAATCTTCGGAAGAAAGCCACGAGGATGAAACTGGTTAATTATCTGAGGAATTCGACGATAAAATTGTGAAATTCTGTAGGCCATAGAACAAAACGGCTGAGGCTTTGGGGATCTCGCAGTGTCGATTGCTTCGAGAAGCTAGAACAGATTAGCGAGTATTCATGTGTTGTCAATTATATGGGTGTTTAAATTTACGGGTATTCTTCTTCTTTTCAGTTTTGTGTCTTGTATCTGGGTAATTTAATCTGTGGAGTATTTAAGTGTTGTCAATTATATGGGTGTTTAAATCTATTAAAATTGCAGAGTTCAGAGTATTAATCTATATATTTTGTTGATTTTGGCGAATACCTACCTTGCCTTTATCTTAGCAAACGTGATTTATGTATGTAGAAATATACTGTTTTGTTGATTGACATAATTGAGATTCTTAGGTTTTAAAGACTTGGATCTCAGAATATGTGTGTCGGTGAGTTCATTTGATTTCAAAGTTGGTGTTTTTTCGGTGTTCTTAGTAAGAGATGGACGGTTTGTCAAAGGGAGTGGCGCATTTCGTCGGGATTGGACAACCTGGCTTCTCGATACTTCTCTCGGCGGCGACGACTTGGTTCTGACACTCAGTCCACCGGAATAGGTTGTCTCAAACTCATAAAAACTTCTTCCCAAACACCAGTTTGTTTTCTCCTTGTCTTTTTTCATTTAGATTAGACTATTCTAATTTCCAAATTTTCTTGGCTTTTCTTCGATCGTTGCCGGAGATGACGATGTCTAATTTTTTGAAATGATTTATATTATTGATATTTATTAAAAAAAACCCAGATTTGATTAATTTCGTCTAAAACACGTGCTGGAGGTGAATCTAGCAAATTAAAGACCCTGACTTTTTGAAATCTAGCAAATTATTTCTAAGAGTTAATTCTTTTTTAAATAACTTTTTTAAGGTTTTACTAAAAAAAGTCAGATTCTTTGAAATAATTTATTCTATTAATGTTATACAAAATAACATAACTTTTGATTTAAAGATTTTTTTCTAAAATACAGCGTTTTAGTAATAGATAAAATGCAGCGGGTTGGTGGCGTACCTCCGTAACTCGGGCATAAGAGTGTGAGGCGAGAGTTCTCAAAAAAAAAATACGGCGGCTTGTTCCAAGGCGAACTTTCAGGGTGTCTCTGGCAATGACTCTCTTTTCTGGTTTCTGGATTGGTTTCAGATTTTCTTTCTTTAAAGAGCGTTTCGGATCCCAAGAGGAGGAGATGGTAGCTGAGACAGCTTTCTCCTTCACACCCCCATCTCTTCTCTTTGGCGGCTCGTTGCCTTGAATCCTAGCATTCGGGTAGGCCTCCGTGCCATGGTTCTTTTTCTGTTGTGGCTATGCTCTGCTGTTTCTTCCCCTTTATGCTCCTTTTGGCTAACCTTACTCCTGGCGAGGGTTGGTCTTCAGGAATTTCACCTTCTTTTCGCTTTTCACACTCGCCGCTTTTGGCGGGTGCGACCCTTCGAATCTTGTCGAGATTTTGTTGTAGTCTTTCTTTTTCTAGGGTTTATTATATGAATAAAACTTAATTTTCATTAATGCTTTCTTTGTTTTTTTGCCTGGTCTCTTTGACGCACACCTTTAGTAATTTCGATCGGCATTAATTATATTTTGAACGAACTGACTTTTTATCCCAGGACAAACACCAAAAATGCCTCCGGATATCTCTTAGAACTGTCTATACATTTGCGTACATCTTTAACGCGTTGTGGTTTGGGGAAGAGGGCATGCGTCTGACTCGACCCCCTGGAACCTTCTAGTCCCCGACGCTTGGTTTTTATGCAGGGGGCAGACGTCTCTTCAGCCATGATCTGCGTTCTTTTGTCACGACGGGGGACCTTTGCTTTGACTAGAGGGTGCGTGTTGAGGCAGGGGCGCCATTGACTGGCTAGAGCCTTGGATTTTGTCAGGGGTCGGCCTTGTTTCACCCGATGTCTGGGGGCGAATACCTTTTGGGCAGTCCACCCTTGAAAGTACCGCTTGGGCCAGCGGTCCGACTTGACTCTGAAAGCGGAGGTTTCCACCCCACTCTGCTTCTTCTTCTAACTTTCGTCGCACGGTGCTTTCAGGGTGACTCCCATCTTCTTCGATAGCTGCGAGCATCGGGCCGCACTAGCGGTTGGTTGCCTGGTAACGCTGTGACTACTTTCTTTGTGAGACTGCATACCGGTCTACCTACCTTCTTCTAGCGCCAATTGTTCGGGAGCAAGTTATAGAATGCTTACATGGGGTGTGTGTTCGTCCAGGTAGCTGAACTGGATCATTGAGTTTTGTCTTCTAGGAGGATGAGTGGTATGCGCATCCGAGACGAAAGTCTGACGGGATCCTACATATACTGGCAAATGAGTAAGTCAGGCCTTCGAGAGAATATGGAAAGGGGTTTCCCTCCCGAAGGTTTTCTGACGCTCAAGTCAATGCACGCCCTACTGGAAACAAAAATTCGGGAGGGTAGATATGGTGAGGTGTTTGAGGTTTAGGTATCTCGTCCAAGGATCATGATACCCGTCTGATGTTTGGTGAAAATGAAAGTATAATGAATGGACCATGAAGAGAGCGGGGAAGGAACTCTCTCTACATGGGTATGAAATGAGGGTTAAAAGAAGAATGAGTTGTTTATCTCGGCTAGCATTCTTTCTGGGAGGACGGTGAGCGTTTCCTCTTCAGTCTCACGGTCTGAACGAGATCAGGGCGAGCTCTGGTGGAGTGAAGGTCGGAAGCTTTGCTCCTCCATCCCTTATCTCTGTAAAACTGGATATGTTCCCGGATCCTGGTCCTCTCTCTCTCTCTCGGCGCCCTTGGCCTTTCTTTTCCTTTTGGCCTTAACTCTTTTTTATACTATTTTCTCTTTGATATGTCTCTTCGGTGCGTCACATGACAGGAACATGCAGGGTGGTACAGCACGTTTTTGGCTTGGAAAGTTGGCTAACTGCTCGTAAATAATTAGTTAGAGAGTTAGTGATAGACCTAGACGAAGAAGTCAACATTTCGACAGGACCCGGTTACAATATGTCACCTCAAGACTGATTATGGTGAAATTAATTTACAAATATATAACAAAGTCTAAATAACAGGACCTAACATATATATAACAAAGTCTAAATAATTTACAAATCCAACATATATAACAGTTCACTAAAAAATAGAAAAAAATGTTAATATGCAACTTAAATGAAGAGAAATTTGACTAATATATATAATTTTTTATAGCAGTAGATTTAAATGTACATATTCAAATCAGTAATTTGATAATATGACATAAAAAAATCTTTTCAAATCCATGTTTGAATAATATATAATTTATAAACTTACTAAAAATCATTCTAAATTTCAGTTTAAATACATCTTTTTAGTGTATCTTAAAAAAATTAAATTTGTTACAATTTGTATATATAAGAAGTACTTTATCTCTAACTTTTAAGTTAGATATTTTATAAATATTATATTTTGTTTTATAAGTGCATCAGTAGCACGTCTTAATAAACCGTTATAGAAGTAAGAATACACTAGAGTCAGGTGGTTTAACCCATCAATTTTTTCAGAACTGCATTCCAAATCCCTTTCGAGAAATCCCAAATAAGCAAGCAACTTTAACGGATTGGCTCAACTAGTTACATGTAGCGTTAAGAAATTTGTTCAAAAAAAAGAAATTTGTTAACAATAATTATAAAGACCAAAATGCATGTCAGTTATCTAATAAAAAAGATTTTTAACATTTTATGATTATTTAATAGATATTTTATTTAATTAAAGTGTTTTCGTTAGGTTATTCCACTATTGTATGTGAAATCAAAACCTTTATTTCATTAAAAACTTTACCAATATAAATGAATTATGGGCTCGTCTTTAAGAACATTGGCTGGGCTGTATTGTTTTTTTTTTTCTTCTCGCATCTAAATAATAAACTCTTTATTAAAAAAAAAATCTTAATTCATTACAGATATGATTTTATTTCTTAATCAAAGACATGATAATGTTGAACGTTGTTGGGCTGGAAAAGCTATATTTTTGGGTTGCATGGTGTGCAAATTTCTTGAAGAGGTGGTTAATGATAGAGGTATCACCAAAATGAGCAATAAGCATTGGTTCCGCGATGGATCGTGCTCTATTTGCCATCTTTCTCCCAACTTTGATTCCATGTGATTGGTCATCATCTTCTTCTTCATCAGTTTTGTAGGAAACAAGATGCTCATGTGTCCCTATCTTGTTAATCTCAAAGGAGCCTTCATTTTGGACAATCTTAATAACCTCTCTTTCGTTCGGATTGTAGAACGGTAAGTTGAATGACTCCACTTCTGATTGTTTCACGACCCGCTGTCCTCGCAACATTTTTTGTTACAATATTTTAGTGGAAAATAGAAAGAGACCAATCGTTATTTCTAATAACAAAGATATATAAAAATGATCAAATCTACATCAATTATTTTATGAATAGAATGCTTTTGTAGGATATGACTGGGTGTTGTTTTAACTAGAAAATAAAATTACTCTTGTTTTAGCTGAAAAAAGTTACCAACCAAACAAAAAATGAAGATCATTTTGCTCAATTCTTCTAAATACAAACATGATTATTATTTGTAAATACAAACATGAATCTTAATTTGAACCTAGCTTGAAAAACATTGAGCTAACCCCCAAATTTATATGAAGGTTTAAAATATAGTTAAATAAAACTTGAATCCGAGCAACAACAAAACTCAAATAAAATCATCCATATTAAATTATTTTTCCTTTTATATAATCTTATTCATAAATCATCAATCCTGGAAACCAAAACCCCAAACCATAGCCGAATCAAGATCATGATTGAATACTATTAGAAATCTTTAACCATAAAATGACATAAAATATATGTATTTTTTGACTAAAAAAATATATTATTTGATACTTTTAAAATATATAATATTATAAATCACTCTGACTCATAGCATGGGATATGTTGTTGATAAAATTATGATATAAATGACATAAGATCCTGAACAATAAAAGGACATAATATAGATTTATTCAGTTATGTATTGTAAACGAGTACCTCCGAAACTAGGTCGATAAGTGCATCAGATAGCAAGGACCAAAGGTAGAAATCGCCTCTGCATAAAGGATCCACATCATTTGCTCCTATGAACGTGAGAACCATGCGTCCGTTAGGCAACATCTCTTCAGAACGCAATCTCAAGAATAAGTAGAAATCATTTTGGAATTGATTCATATAACTCTTGCACACGTTTATAGGACATCCACTTCTAATGTACACGTTATTCTTGTTATCTTCAAGTCCTTGAGGAACCTTAGAAAGCCACATAATACTATAAGATGAATGAAGAAAATGGAGAGATTTTTTTGGAAAGAGTCTTGTGTAGAAGGAGCCTGGGGTTCCAGATATGAAACACTTTCCTTTAACCTCTTTATCAAAGGAAGGGATCAGCCTGAAAGTTGTGTTAAAGTCGTTTTGTGGAAGATCGTTTAGGCAATAATCAATCTCTGGTAGGTTTTTTTGTTTTTGTTGGTACGATCCTGTGACCGTGTTGACGATTTCCAACATCACCACAAACGTGTTTTGTCCTGAAGAACATCCTAAATCTGACACTTTGATGCAATCAGGATAATTTAAGTTAAGTAACATTTCTTTGATGTTCTCTTCCACCATCGGTCGTGTCTTAGAGATAACATTTCTCTGCCAAAAAAATAATATAAATCTACTAAAGTACACAAACCATTAATCTCATTTAATCAGAACCATCATAATTAATTACTTCGTGCAGTACCTGATTATCAGAATTACTAGAATAGCTGTGCTCTCCATCTCCTCCATTCATACTAAGAACATTCATGAAAGAGTTCCTAAAATGTATTAAGAAAAAGCTTAATATATTAGGATTACGAAATGGTTACTCTTACTAATCAAACACATTTAATCATTTTATACAATATGGGCAGTACTGATACACACAAATTAAAAGAATATTTAGTTACCTTGAAGAAGACATGACGATATATGAATCTTTGGATCAAATTCTTACAAGATCAAAAGTGTTGCTTTTTATTATATGTTTGGGTAAACGATATATAGGAATATATTAGCATATTAGCACTGCAACATTTATTTAAGGGGAGAACATGCCGAAAGAGCAATAATTCAATACAAAAAAGAGGGGCCTACAATGATTTCACCGATATCGTGAATCATGTGATTAGTACATGAAGAACATCTTAGGGGACAACCCAACCACTAGCCTACCAACCACACTCAGCACTGATAGTACTGTATATTTTGTGTTCTTTGCTGTATTCACCTGCTTTTGATTCTCTTCTTAAAGGGACATCATTTTCATTTTCAATATTAACATATTACCATAACAGTTAAAATAAAATAAAATAAAAACGGCATATCGTACACTTTCATTTCCCAAGAAAATGAAGAATTACAAATATTTCAAAATTTCCATATTATATTGTTCGCATGAATTATTTTTTTAAAGTGAAAATGTGAAAACTAAATAGAGTTTATAATAGTTAATTCTACTGTAAAAGTGATTATTTACTATTCCACATAAACTCAAAACTGGAACCACATTGACTGCCCACAATGCTACCAATTTAATGTATTGGACATAACTTGATTATTTGGTTTGTCAAATTTGTTGCCTATGTTTTACTTACCTGGAAATTTACAATCTCATATTTCTGTATTTAGTTTGGAAATATTTTTTTTTTTTGTGAAATTATATAAAAGACGTAAAAAATACTAACATATACCTGAAATTATAGAAAATTGCTTATAAAAGATTTGAAAATTGGAGTTAAATAGGAGTAAAAACAGGTAACAAAAACTCATCGAAACTTCGTACCAAAAAAAAAAAAAAGCTCATCGAAACTTAATACTTTCTCTAATAAAATAAAATTTAAATTTAAACTGAAAAATGTGTGAAAATGTGAGAACTCTCAAATCTTTATCAACCACTTTAAATTATAACTTGAAGACGACATTAAACACAAATTGGTTTGAAACATTCTCACTATAGCCCCAACATGACCTTCGCAATCCGCGTCTATACTCTGAATTCCAAACCTACAAAACTCTAAATTTTTGTCAATTAATTCTTTACATTCAACAAGATTTTTGTGGATTCCTCATCAAAGATTTTTGGTAAGAAATTATTGTTGGTAGGTAAATGCTGATTTATTGGTGGGTTCAAAGTAAATAGAAATTATGTATTTATAACTTGAACACGAGTGACTTACACCACTTATGAGTTATATTTTACATTTAAAAATACTTTTTACTGCTTGTGAATTTTGTCTTAAAATAATGCACTTAAAAAAACTATTTTACTCTTCATCCAACTTGATCCAATTGTTGTTGATGGCGTTTCATGGCAAAGAAAGGGTAATGTGATTGGCGAATCTTCAACGCGATGATGAAACTGTCTACAAAGAAATTCTTCAGTGAATGCCAAATTTGTCAGATTTCTGATAGCAGGATTTTGTCTAGCTAGTCAAATCCTAACACACTCATGTCATTGCAGCATGTAAGGTATCAATCCATCCGAGTTCATAAAACACTAAAAATACAGCAAATCACTTAAGTCAAGCTAAATTCAAGAAAACAGTTGTGATCAAACTAAACAGGACTAAAGACTGAACTAAACAGCACAAAAGCAAAGCAGAAAATTCAAATAGATTAAAGTAAGGATCTAAGTTGTGGGCTATTGATTAAGAGGGGACTAGAACCTAACTAGTGATGCTTCAAAACCATTCAAACAATGCTATCTTCTAAGTATAGGATTAACATTTATAACTAACTCAATTTCTTGACACTAATCACTTTGCTAAGCACATATTCAAGATAAATTCCTTTACTCAAAAATATGATCAGCAAATATTTAAAACATAACTCCAATCCTATAAAACCAAAATGCACCGTAGACATCTAATTCTTTAGGCTAAGAGAACAAATCCTCTAAGAGACTCATAACAACATTTCATCAAACACTTATCATGCATAAGAGAAAGCCAAGATACTAAACAAGCCTGGCCAAGACTAATCTAGTGTTAAGCACATATAATAGAGAGAAAACAATCATATTAAGCATAAGACATCACTTGTCAAATCCTAAAACCCCTATAATCTATCCCATCTCAAACCCTAAATAAGACTACTCACTAGCCATAATCCAAACCACAGATTCTAAAGAGAAATAATGGTTAAGCATGATTAGAGAGCAGAATAAGCAAGAATAGATTAAAGGCAAACACAGAATTTCACTAAATCAAACTAGTTCTTACAAAGCAAAGCTAAAAAAGGAAAGATTTTAAGTGCAAGAACAGAAGAAAAAGAATAAGATATCAGTTGCCTAACCATTTTAGGACTTTAGTATTTATAAGGGAACTTGAAAACCCCTAATAAACCAGGATTAAACCGAAAATAAGCTGACTCGGATGGACCATATCGGCCATGTACATCGATACACACATCGATATCAAGTCTTCTTCTAGGTTGTATTGACATGGCCCGGTCGATATGCTAGTCGATATGCAAGGCTCCAAGAATGTATCGGCTTGTCTCTCCTTGGTGTGAAGTCGATACAATCGCCCTTTAGTTAAGGCTTGTCGGGAAAACACGTCGATGCAGCACCTCGGTATTGTCTTGTCAAGGTGTATCGACAAGGGATGTCGATACACTGCTCGATATGAGTCTCCTTTTGGTGCATCGAGGTCCTCCTTAGTCGATATGCTGCCCTTACACCATGCTCTTGCTGTATCAACTTGAAGTGGTCGATACTCATATCGATACGCTTTATATCGATCAGATCACATCGATATCATCATCGATATTGGCCCATCCGACCTTGTCCTTCTCCTTGCTCCATTCCCAGTTCACATCCATTGCACCACTTGGTTTCCAGACTCCTTCTAGTACCTGAATAAAACTCCAAATGTATGCAAAATGCAATGCAACTCCTAAAACTACACTAACTCCTAAATATATGCAAATGGGACAAGAAGAAGCAAAATATGCTTGTTTAAAGACTAAAACTAGTGATGAATGCAAGCTAAAATGATATAAATAATGGAGATATCAATTTCATGCTGATTTCAATGAAAATCAGCAGATGCATTTGTTCGTTGCTTGAGATTGTCCATTCTGTTAGTTAATTTTTAAATTAATCTCCAAATGCTTTTGTTTACTGAATCATACCAACCAGTGACAACCTTGAAAATATTGAGTTGACACATTAATCGAAATGACCTTGGTCCAACCATAGGAGGACTGATTCGGAAGAACTTGGTAAAATGAAATGGTTGAATAATTGAAAAATGAGTGGAGTTTCAGTGATTCGGGGTGAATAGTAAGAGATGGACAAACAGTGTGGAAGGTTAAAATAATATGGATAAGTTTCCATGGACAGGATTCTGTGGACATCATATCCTGCTCCAGTCAGATTTTATAAAATGTACGTGAGGTTGTCGTGAATAGGTTGTCATGGACAGATTTACATTGATCCAATTATGTCTACAGATATAGCAAAGACACAAAATCGTTGGTGGTGGACTGAGATGGGTGGACAATAATCCACAATGCAGTTTCCAGTGTTCCTAAAATACATGTTGGTTTTTTAGCTGTTTTTGCTTTTATCTTTGTATGTACACAGTACATTGGACATATGAAAATGGATAACTTCGTATGGATAACATCGTACTATGGACAATACAAAGTGTAAACCAACAAATATAAGAAAAATCGTCATCTCCACAACCTACTATGGACAGTGTTAAATCTCTATTGAAGTATCTACAATCAACACGAGAATGATTAAAACCTGTTTGTTTTGTGACACACATTTTGCGAACAAGCTTATTAACCTTGACGTTGCAAACCGAGAACCCTAAACACTCCCATTCATTCGATTAAAAGCCCCCAAATGCCTTGCACTCCAAGATAAGATGTCCAAGACAACTTGTCCACAATAAGAGCAAATATGATATATACCACAACTTATCCATGAAAACCTGTCCATGATCCCAAATACTGTAAACTCAAATAAATTCTTCACGATGGTTGATCCACAAAAAGCTGTCAATGCCAACAACAGCCACACAAAGAAGGAAACCTATACAAAATTATTATAGAAGTTACAGTTCCTCGTCCACATGAAAAGGAAAGAAGACAAGCAAAAGTTTTCAACAAAAACATCCATCTCTTTTGTCCTATATTCTTTAAGAAGGTAATAAATAAAATACATTCACATCATGTGTTGTTCATAAATAAAACCAAGAAAAAAATGAAACTCACACTTACGCAGATTTGGGCAAAAGCCGCAAGAGATTGCAGTAACCAAATCCATGGAAAACACTATTTAGTCCACCAGATCTTGTCAATCATCTATTTTCCATTCACATTATTTAGTTCACCAGATCTTGTCCATGATAAAATCAAGTTTGGAATCTCAACAAAATTCATGCAGATTTGGGCAAAAGCTGCAAGAGATTACAGTAACCAGATCCATGAAAAAACACTATTTAGTCCACCAGATCCTATCCATCATCTATTGTCCATTCACATTATTTAGTTCACGAGATCTTGTCCATGATAAAATCAAGTTTGGAATTTTTACAAAATCCAGTTGGGACGAAGCTTCGATGGCAAAAATTAGGGAACTTAACAAGTCGAGAACTCCACAACACTGTTAATCACCCTCAAAATTACGTGACAGCCCGTCCATATGACCTGTACACCGCCTCTAACGACACCTCAGCCGCCAGAGGAGACAAAAACGGCAACTGCATCATGAGTGAGAGCTAAATATAAAGCATTTGGAGACTAATTAAAAAAACAGAGAAGATATTTGTTACCTTATATCTTATTTTATTTTCTTTTGTTACAATTTATCTATATGTAATTATCCACAAGTTGTCTTTCTGAGCCAATTTCGCCAATTTTTCCTCCTGGTCGTTCTCAATCCTCAGCTCCAATTAGGTGTAAATCGATCACAACTTCAGCTATGACCTTGAAAAGCTTTGTCGCCATCGCAGTTGAGAGCGGATTTAGGGTTTTTGAAGATGAAAATTTTCAAGATTCAGATTTGAGATGAAAGTCGATTGAATCGGCGGATGAATCAATTTTTATTTATTTATTTATTGTTTGGTAGAGATAGTAAAAA